TAAGTGTGGGTGCCAGTCGCAACCCGGTTTGGGTCGTGACAGTTTTGTGATAGTGTATTATATTTTTCTTATAAACTTTTGCTTATTTAGTAAGATTGTGTAAATAGTTGAGAAAACTTTGATCGTTTTTACAATTTATGAGATTTTTATATTTATGAGAAAAAAATGCAATTTAAAATTTCAGCACGTCCAAATAAAACTTTAAATTTATCTCGTACATGATTTCATATTATGATTTGACTCACATGGCAATAAAATAAAATAATAATTGAAATTTATTAATTAAAATAAATCATAGATATATATGTCGTTATAAATTATTTCAATAAGAATGAAATTAAAAATTTAAACTTAAATATACAGTACTTGCAGGTGCTAAATTTTAAAAGATATCAATTCTTTCCTGAACTAACTAATTAAGAAAACATTATCAAACATGAGGGAGTACTTAATATTCAAAGTAGTATTCCTTTCTGAAACATACTAAACAGTAAAATAAAACAAATAAATTTAACAAGATAGTTTATAGTTAATATACACAAGTATATCTGTAGGATGGTATAATCCAAATCAAGATAGTGTACTTGTATAATGATAATTTTGGAGTCTTATTCTCCAAGAAACTTCTGTATATATTGATATATATTCAAAGAAATCGACTAAATGTTTTTTATAGGTGAAGCCAATAATCTCTTTCATGATACACAATTTATGTAGCTTGAACCATTATAATTTTTGTTCTTCACACACTCTATAAGTAACAAAAAAAATGTATAAAAATATTTTTTTAAAAATTAAAATATTTACAAGACATAAGTACATATATCATTAATACAATACTAATTACTCTCCTTTTGTACATTTTTATTTATCATATTGTGCTTTTCGAAATTCAATTTGACTAATTTTTAAAGTTAAATTTATTACGTTAATTCGATATTTTTTTTGAAAAAAATTAGATATTCAAAAATTATACGACAGAACTATATATTGCAATTTTTTGCATATCAATATGATGAAAATATACATCGTAAAATGTTGGTCAAAGTTCTTATAGTTTAACTTAGAAAAAAAACTACGATAATTAATTGTGGACAGAGAGAGTATGTTTTATATGACATACCAAGTTCTGTCGCTTAATTTTTTATAGAAAATATGTTGTTAGAGGAATATATTTAGTTCAGAACTCACAAAAGATGCCTTGCAGGTTATGCAGCATAAGTTTATGGTGATAGAGGCATAAATTCAGTTTCAAAACAAAGTTATGTGATAACTCATAAGAGATAATAACTTATTGCTATAAACCTTATGCCGAACAAGAACAAAATTTCTCCTAAACTTATACCTTACAAAATTTCTCTCAACTTATTGATGAGAATATTTTGACTCGCAAATTTTATTTAATTTGGGGGTTGTGGGGTGGGGGTGGGGGGGGGGGTTGAAGACGACTAAAATGTGTGTACTTGGGCCGGTAACAACAACTTAAATTGGGAAAATTGTATATAATAGTACACTATTGATTCAAATCAAATGCTATAACCATAGTTTGATTTAATTTTACTCCCTAGTAAAATGTTGCTATTTCGACTCTCTCCCTGATGAATCTTGCTCTCCACTTTCGTTCTCGCTGGCCAGTCTCTCTTACTCTCTCACTTTTATACAAACACAAATGTATAAAATACGTTTGTATTTGTATAAAGCGAGAGAAAAATTATATATATATACTTATATTTTCGTTGCCCTCTCCCAGATCTCGCTTGTCACTCTCACTTTATACAAACACAAATGTATACACTGTGTTGTGTTTGTATAAAGTGAGAAAAAATTGTATATCGAAATATAAATACATATATTTTAACTTATACACTTATGATTATACAAATACCTAATTTTCTTTTGTCTTTTTCACTTTGTATAAACATATATTATACAATTGATTCTTTATATATGTATACGAAAACAGATTATACAATTATTTTTTTATATATATATATAGCGAAATAGATATAACAAACACAAAATTTATTATAGAGCACATTTATGCAAATTATATTTATTATATTATAACATATAAATATGAGATTACTATAATAACATATAAATATGAGATTTGTGTTTGCGTGAAAGTTGCTCCTCAAAATTTAACCAAAAATGCACTATTAGGCCCATTCTTGATTCTTTAGCCCTTTCTTCGTAGCAGCCCAAGCCCCAAAAATCAATTGCCTGCCGGCGGCCAGTCACCGTTTCCCCCACTCCACACCCTTCAACTTTTTGCAGAGGTAATAATTGGACTCTTCTTCACGAATTGGTTATTTTTATCTTACATGAACATTTGTCCATAAAGCAACGGGCTTTGATCATCTTCATGCTTAATGGTATATAGTTTTTGTAATGTTTGCGTGCACCTTTTAACTATGTGAAATTAGGGAGAAAACGGGTCCAGCTCTGATACCACGTGAAATTAGGTTTTAAACTAACTCATATCCCAAAACGCTAGCTCTAGGGTAGGACGATTGCCCATATCTCATTAATCACCATAACTTGTGTCTTGTGCATACTTTCAGCTGTATTAACACTTAGACAAATTGGATGAATTGCCCATTTGAACCTTAATATTCAAGGTTTTTGTACATTTTAGTGATTGATAGGCTATTGTGGTAGTATTCGAGAGAATGTTGTAGTGAAAAACCCTTTTATTTATATGTATTTGGCCATGTCAAATGGTCCCAAACTTAGGAATCAAAACAGCTGCTTTTGATAGAAGTAATTCTGTTTCAGTGAACCAAATACGATTCGAATATGTTATGAACAGAATAGGCATCTGAACAACTCTTCTCCATCGATCATTCGTAGTAATGTTGATAAAAAAAAACTGATGGCAACTATACTAAAACCAAACTCAGACATGATATTCAATATTTTACAAAATACATTTATAATGATAAAAGACATTACAAATTCTGTATTAGACTTACAAATTATATAGAATAGAAGATGCTCAATACATAAGAAAAAGCTTTATTGTGCATAGAGAGATTCTGTCCTACCAAAGGCAAGGATGGTCCTTGTGCATGAAGAATCAGAATCCCTGTCCTTTTTCGTACCACTCAATTTATTCTCTCAAATATTAAAAGAAATAAACGACCCTCTATGAAAAAAAACAGATTCTTTGACTATGATTTTAGCTCTTTTGGCTGCCCTTGATCATGTGGAGTCCATTACTACCATTTGTCTTTCTTGAAAAAACAAGGTGGACACCAGGATCATGGTGAGTGCAAGAAGCATTGTGGAGAATGGAGTTGTTGATACCTTGGACGTTGCTGTTCATGAATGCGGTCATAGGAAGGGACTTATTTTGCATTTTATCTCCCTTCCTTCCACTTTCGCTCCCTGATTTCTCTCCATCATCCTCACTACTCCAAGACTTTGGACTTCCTTTATTTTGAAGGCTCCGGGGGCTGTATGTCTTCCTTGAAGGGCTTAACTCCATAATGGCTCCCTTGTTTTCACCAGCTAGTGTTAGAACACTTGTTCCAAAGTCATCTGCAGCATTAGAATTAGACACCTTCTTCTTCTGATGAACCCCTTTTTCTTTTTTAACTAATTCTTGTTTCCCATTTTCCATTGTGTTTCCATTTCTAGCAGTCTGCTGGACATGATGATGATGATGACCGTTAGTATTAGCCCTCGTGGTTTCTTGGACAACAACAGTTTTCTGATCAACCTGTGAAGGAATCTTGGACTCGAGTTCAAGTTGAGATGGGGGAAGCTTTAGTGGGGATGGAGGGTGAGAAACTGCAGGCTTAGTTTGAGGAGAGTAAGTCTGGGATTTCACTAAATTAGGCTGGAAGACATTTTGAGATGGTGGGGGGGCTTTCGATGGTGATGATTGATTTATGAGAGTTTGGATAGAATCTGTCGATTTTGTTTTTGGAGATGGCCGAGATGAAGCATACGGAGTAGTAGTTGGAGCGCTCTCTGTTGTTACATTAGAAGCTAATGGCTTGACTGGAGATTGTGGCACTGACGTGGTGGTTCTAATGACAGGAGAGGCTCTAATGACAGGAGATTTAGGGACCTCAGTGGCAGCACTTCGTGGTTGTGCTGCTACTGGAGAACGTGGTGAAGGAGCCTTTGGTGGCGAAACAACAGATTGAGGAGGAGGAGCTACAGGTGATCTTGGTGGTGAAGTTACCTCAGCAGGTTGACGCCTCTGTGGTGAAATGGGGCTACCTGGGGCTGGCGCTTGTGGTTGCGGTGGTGCAGTAACTACTGCAACAGGAGTAGCAGCAGTAGGTACTGGAGGTTGAGGGGGCTGTGGAGCAGTAACTGCTGGTGAGGCAGGCCTAAATGGGGTGGTAGGTCGAAACATCGGTTGTGGGGATGGTGCTGGTGGAGCAGAAGCTGGAGGAGGTTGTGCAGCCGGACGAACCATGGAAGCAAAACGGAACAATGGACGAGGTGGTTGTTGGCTAGCCATTGATAGATAGTATAGTAAAAGTCTTGAAATATAATTATTACTACTTGTGGAAAAAAACTAAAACTCAGCCAAATTGTTCCACAATGAAATAACTCAAATATGTTAGTCTTATTTATAGTCCTCAGAGAAGTGGTGTAAGTCTTCCAATAGACATTTAAACAACAGAAGAAGATGAAAGGGAAAGAAAGGCATCAGATTCACAAGAGACATAAATTTTCATTTCACAAAAGTAATAAGCAAGCATCAGATGCAAAACATCACCAAGCAATTCTCATATATAAACAAAAAGCATAATAGCAAATTAGCTAGGGGGCCACCTTATAGTAAAAGTGAAATATGAGTGAAATTCACTGCATTTCAACTCCAGCTTCCATCAATTTGTTAGTTGTTTTTAGAGCTGTTTTCCAATAATAAAAGACACTGATTGGCATCTATGCCCTCCAAATACAAATTAAAGGTGATAATCGCAGCAACTACTATAGTTAAAAAAAACAAACAAAAATGATCACAACCATGAGTTATTGTCGTACAGTTGCAATTCTGGGAATAGTTTGAGCGGTACATGAATATTTTAAAGCACATAAACAGATCTTTCAACTTATTCTCTGTTTGAAAAAATCCAATACTTATTGGTATGCATTATTTTAAAAAGTGCTATTTGTGATTCGTTCCATTCATTACCATTCATATATAGAGGAAATGATGTATTAATATAATACTCATTGTTTTATTTTATATATACTAGAGTTAGATTTGGCACAAGGCTTAAAAGAGAAAAGAATATTTAGACACATAGAGCTTGTGCCCGGATAGAGTTTGAATAATAAGTACGAATCGATCATAGTTCAAATATTTCTTAATCTATTTTGTGTTCTGAATATTAGAATAAATATATGATGAAGTAAAACCATCTTTATCTCAAGATAACAGACCCATTCCCTCTAATATCAATAATATCAATTAGAACAAGTCACAAACTTATATTTTGGAAATTCAAAAATAAAGAAATTCCAGGATCGAACTAACAAAGGAAAATAGGTGTTAAATATATTATAACATTTTTGTGATCTATAAAAATTAAAAAAGAAAAAAGAGTGACACATCAAAGTGAAAAAGAGAAAGTGTACACTATAGGATGCTACAGATTATATGCAAAATAGGAGGTGATATCGACATTGCCTATCTGATATTCACCTTTTCCTGGTTTTATATTTATTCCATTTCTTGTTTATAATTAAAAAAAAAAAAAAAAAAAAACTTAAAAGGCCAAGTATTTCTTATTATTATCTGACCCAATGCCCTATTTAAGAATTTTTTTTAAAAACAGAAGTAATACTGAATTTGCGGCTGCTAATGTATGAGGTACTATAAATAAAGAGAATAATAAAAGTTGAGAGTGTTAATTGACCAGGACAAGATTCTCTTAATGTTCGAAAAGTGAAAACAAATATAATCAAATTGGATGTCATGAATCATTTACAAGTGAGTTGACATCTTTACATTAACTAATGTAATCTGACCAAAAAATAAAATTCTTTTTTTTATTTTTTTGACATAAGTATTAAAAACACACTTAAATTATATTTTTTTTCCAGTTTTATACCCAAATTATTGAAAGTTTGAGTTTTATACCTAATTTATCACTTTTTAGTTTGAGAAACACACCTCTCTCTTTTATGACATTCTCTCTCTTTTATTTTAAAGAATTTCTACATCATACTTTACATGGACAAAATATTCAATCTTGACGATAAATAAATTAATTATTAGTATTAGTTAAAATTAAAAATTTAAAAACTATTATAAAAAATAATATTTTCTTCATAAAATAAAATGTAAAATATTTTTTTACCCCACACCATTTTTTAAAGTTTTTTATTTTGTTTAAATTTCTTTTATAAAAGTATTTCATTTTTACTTCATCTCCTCCCTCCTCATCAAATACGAATTTAGATATTATTTTATTTTCTTAAAAATATGATTCTACTCATCCCACTTAATCCTCCGCTTTCAATTTTTTTTCCAGTGTTTAGATATACATATCAAAAATATTTTTTACTTGCCGCCACAAGACTTTTTATATTATTTTAGTTGTTTATGTAATATTCGGTACGCTAGTAGAATTTTTTTTCTAAAAATATATGCACGTGCATATCTAACATAAAATAAGAAAAACATAAAAAAAATTAAAAATTAAGAGCGAAAAATTATATAGGATGGGGTAGATTTTTTTAAATAAAATAATATCAATTCTTATCGGGGGAGGGGGAGGATGAAATATGATATTTTTAAAAATATTTTATAAATGATTTTTTTAAAGAAAAGAATGGGCTGTTGCGGGGGAGGGGGTACGTGGAGGAGGTGGTGGAGTGAAATAAGAAAAATAATTTAATTTTTTATATGGGTAGTAATCTTTAATTTTTAATTAATATTAATTTTTCATTATTTAATTTTTTATCTAGATAAAATATTTTATATATATAAAATGTCATGTGTCAGTTTTTTCATATAAAAGAGAGAGTGCACTCATATTTTCAATAGTTTAGATATAAAACTAAAAAAAAGTGAATAATTTAGATATGTTTTTGACATTTATCTCTATTTTTTCATAAACAAATTTTGTCAATTGCTTAGCAATGAATGGTAGTCACTTGTCAGTTGTTTTTTTTCAACCTAAGGATACTACCAAAAAAATCATTATTTTCTTACTAAAATTTTCTGCAGAAAGTATAACTATTCCCACGTGTATTTTAATTGAATCAGTGAAAAAAAATAGCCATATCTTCGCACAAGAAAATTAGGAAGCTCTTTGGTATTTTGAAGAGCCAAGTTAAAGTAACTAGTTTGGAACATAGTTTATGTAGATGTTTCATCTTGTTGGAATACTTAAGTTAATTTCAAGAGCCAATTCACCTCTTTCTTGTGTCTAATCTTGTGTCAAGTTTATCATTTCAGCGCATTATATCGCGCACCAAATAATATAATGTAACTCAATTATATATCGCGAACCAAAACAACCAATTTTAATGAACCCCCATATTACATCTTTAAAAGTTGTATCAGTTGCAGAAACGTTGGAAGTTGGAATTAAGGAAAGCAATTTGTTAATTTACACTTGATATTATAACAATAACATAAGAAATGTATATGATGATGCTCTTCAAAATTATGCACCTTAACTGTTGTTGCATAATTTTAAACATCTGAATTTCAAAATGTTCTTCAGTTGATTCTGATATGGAATTAGTTGGATTTCCTGATCACTATGGTAATCAGAAAGGTTTGTTCCTTTTCAATTCAGGGCAGCGAAAAGATGCTTCTTGTATGTAGAAATCAGTAGGACATGGGAGATTTCCAACCACCAAATCTCTTAGTCTTCGGGTGCTTCTTGAACTCCATTTTCATCTCTGTGATCACCCATCAGTTGCTCCAAACGTCTGCAATCTTCCAACCATAGTGTACTTGTAGATGACAGAGGAAATCACAAACGCTATACTTGAATCGTGACACTTTGACTACTTCAAGCCTGTGGTATATAACTATTTCCCTTCCATAGTCTAGTTATTTTCCAGTACCAATCTCTTTAATTTTCCACCTTGACCTTGGACTGTGAGGCCTACCTTCTATTGAGGTGTGTTTTGCATGAACTTCCTTTAGATATTACACCAGGTGAGACATTTCAGGCAATAATGTGATCCCCGACATTCTTAAAGTTTAAAATTTCAAGTGTAGATACATATTTTAGGAATCTGCAATTAGCGAAAGAGAGTAGGCGAAGAAGTGACAAGTGCTGAGTTGAGGAGGGTAAGGACTCGAATCCAACACTTTTAGAGCTCTCATATATACCTTGGAAGAATTCATCTGGAACTCGCACTAAGTTCTTGCTCCAGTAATATTTTAGCCACATACTAAAAGTATTTTAAAGTCCCATGCATTTTGTGAACTATAAAAATTACTAGTAAAAGACGGGGATAAAATTGAAAAAGTCAAAGTACACACTATAAGGCTCGATAAAAACAACTTAAAAAGGCCAAGTATTTCTTATCATTTTATCCGATGCCCTATAGAAGAATTTTGAACACAAACAGAAGAGTTGTACTTGGCCAAGTTAAAAGACACAAGTAATATATAGCAAGGTTGCTTTGCAGATTGGGAATTTGAGCATTATTCTGCAAGAATACCACCATGGAAATTTTGATGGAGTGAAATCTCTTTATGTAGACGACCAGTGCGCTGACATTGCCCAATTGATAAAGTTGGGAAATGAATTACCAAATCAACCAGTGTTCCCTCAACTAGAGAAGCTGAACATTCACCACATGCAAAAAACCCAAGGCATCTGTGTCGAGGAGTTACTACCTGGATGTTTACAAAAAATCAGGACTCTGGAGGTCGGAGAGTGTCCTAATTTGAAAGATTCACTCCTTCCTCCTAATTTAATTCAAAGAATGCCAAATCTTGAAGAAATTAAGGTAACAGGAACCTCAATCAATGCTGTGTTTGGATTTTACGGCATCACATTCCAAGGTGGACAATTAAGGAAGCTGAAGAGAATGACACTGCAGAATCTTTCTCAACTAACAAGCCTATGAAAGGGTCCTAGTGAATTAGTTATGTTCCACAGCCACAGGCTAGAAGTTGTTAAAGTTTCACAATGTGAAAACCTCAGGTATATCTTCCCTTACGCCGTTTGTGATTACCTTTGTCATTTGGAAGAACTATGGCTAGAAGATTGCAGTGGTTTGGAGAAAGTGATAGGTGGTCACACAGATGAAAATGGAGTACCAGAAAAGCATAACTCTCCCAAGACTAACTACTTTTGAGGCTTCAAAGTCTACCACATCTCACTGATTTCTACACTCAAGAGGCATATTTAGGTTGCGCTGAATTGCAAAGACTGCATAAACAGGATTGCGAAAGATTGAGAACTAACCTCTCTGATTACACCATAGTGATCAGGAAATCCAAGAGAAGAGCAGCTGAATCATCTTATAGATTTTCATACTTTGAGTTAATATAAATTTTTTTTTTGGTATTTATAGACACCTTAAGTTAAAGCTCATCTTTTTCTCTTCCAACAGAGTTTAGGAATCTGAAATTTATTTTACAACTATAGATTAAATTTCTGCTGATGACAAGCACGAAAACCATTGTTACATCATTTCTTATATATACATTAGACTGAAAGATGTACTGATGCATCAAAATAAGATAGAGAAGTAATGCAATTAACACAATTGTAATTTGTTAGTGGCAGTTTACAGATAACAATCTTGATTCTTAGTTGCTCTCATCTGCTCTGCTGTATAAATAATGTTATTTTGTTTGTCACCTACATTTGTACATGCACACCTGAAATTATATCTAATTTTGATATGCATTTGGAAAGAAATATCCTATGTTCATGTTTGTGGAAATTGTGGATGTCATACCTCTTTCCTTTCTCGAGAATTCAGTATATTTGCATCATGTAAGCTGAGTGAAGATTCTTCTAACAAAATTTTATTTCTCAGTTCCCCGCCAATATATAATATTACATTCAGTTCTAATGTTCATTGTGTTGTAAATGTGAAGACTAAGGGAAACACTAATACTACCTCCTTTTACATTTGGAGATGGTGGAAGGTGTTGAGTTGAAACCTCAAAAGGTCTTATATATGTTGCTTAGACTAATTAAAAATGTCAATGGGTCGGGTATGTGTCGTATTCTAAAAAAAGTATTTTTTTAAGATCCGATATGAATATGATAAAATATTTGAAAAGTCTAAACAATTTAGTCGGAAATTGTATTTTAAGATGGATATAATAGTAAACATATATTGCTGGTCATTGGACAAGCTACTCTATATAGAGATCTCTTCTATATATAGGACTAATATTTTACTCCTTAAAATGAGAGTAAAAGATATTTTTACTACTCATCTCGATGGTATATTTCTAAGACAAAAAGGGCAAACGTGAATTATTTTTTTTGCTAACATGAAATTTTTACTCCTTAGCCCAAAGTGCTTAAATACCATGATGTCCCTAAAATAATTATTTTTTCTTTAAAAAAATTTTGAAAGTTGGGAAAAGGCAAATAGGGAAGGGATTACGTTATAAATAATCAAATTCTCACTAACAAGATGGGAATACAGTCTATTAACTAATAAGCTATATAGATTTTCCTAAATGTTTGTGTCTGCTCTAAATGGTATGACTTCCATTATGATACTTCTTTTGCATATATATATATATATATATATATATATATATAGATATTTTTTAATCAAAATTTAACATGTTGGACGTGTTTAGCACGGACTTTCCATTCTAGACGAGAAATAAATGAAAGTTTGACTATCCATTACCAAATTGTTGTTATCCTTCTCATCAATAAAGAACACTTAGAAGGTTTCAAATTCTATAAAACAGCAGACAGTTGAGAAATTAAATAAGGAAAGAGAAGCTTCCTTCCAATCAAAATTAGATATAACTAATATCAAATATCGTTGACTTTGAATAATAAAGATTCGAGAATACTATATATTTTTTCATGAAAGACCCTCATTTTTTTTAATTAATTCTTTTCTTTTTCACCTATAAGTGAAAAGACAACCAATAATAATCCTAATAATATTGGTAATTATTAAGGATGTCAAGCCCTTTATCTCTTCTTCTACAATGTCTTTCCTCCTTCTTAATATTCTGTCAAATCTTTTATGCATCTCAAGCTGATTTGGGAACAGCAAGCCAATATAGCCCACCATACACACGTAAGTTAATCTTCATTGTTTAATTATATGTTTCATTTTAATAATAGTAAGAGTTGTCATCTTATCATTCATGACTAGAAGAGCTAGTCGTAGATTCAAGCTGTGAAAAAATAGTAAGGCTATGCACAATAGATCCAATGTGACCGATCTAGTTTCTTGGATCCCGTGACTAGAAGAGCTAGTCATAGATTCAATTGCAACATAAGCTACATAATCAACTTATAGCAGAATCTTAGTGCATCGAGCTACAAGCTTATACATTTCATTCTGAATGTTATATATCTCGTTGTACTAAACGCAGCGAGTGCATGTTTTGGGAGTGATTCAACACAATTTCCATCAAGCAACTTCTTTGCAGCAGCTAGTGAAGGGATTTGGGATGATGGAGCTGCCTGTGGAAGACAATATTTGATAAGTTGCATTAGCTCTGTTTTGCCTAAAGCTTGTAAGCCAGGAGAAACTATACAGATCAAAATCATTGACCGCGCACAAAATTTAACTTCAACACCAACAAGACAAGGAACCACTATGGTCCTTTCTAATGCTGCTCTTGCTGCAATTGCTGATTCAAACGCCCCTTCTCTTAACATCGATTTTCGACAGTAAGTAATCCTTCATCCTTCCTTCATCCTGTTTCACGAGTTAATTTCTCAAATCATCATTTAAAATCTTTTTCAACTAAACTAAGTTTGATTACATGTGCTAAACGAAGTAAATTATTACTACTACTACTAAAATTATTGGAAAGAGATAAAGTAAACGACAACTTTAACGTGACTAGTGCACATGTGAGGAGTACTTTCTGCTTTTCGATTTGGTTGTCTAATTTTTAATTTAAACATAGAGAAGTGTTGAAAACACCTCTAAATTAGACGTGAATTATTAGTTTCATTCATGAACTACTAACTATACTTAAACCTAGTCTCGTTCTTGCGACATGAATGAAACACACCCCTAGATTCTCGTCAACTTTAGAGATGTTTCTAACACTTTCCTCGTCTTTTTATTAAGAGTCTCATGTTTCTAATAAAGTTTGAGACCATTTGATACGTCATGTAATGATAAAGGCGTATCTAAGTTTAGTTAATCAAGTAAAAGAACTTCTTTTTTAAGGCGATTAATAATTCAGAGATGAAAGCTAATCATTTAATTATATCAAGTTCATAAATAATTTTTAATACTTCTATCTTGAAAAATAAAATATATAAAATGTATGTTAATTTTATGATCTTAAATGAAAGTAAATAATCAAATCAAAACACAACAAAAACTTTAAATGAAAGTAAACAAACAAATTGAAACACTACAAAAACTTTGATTAAATTTAAGTAGCGCGAAGAAATCTCAACCTATGTTGTTCGATGATTAATACTTTAATTATATCGCGATCGAGTGTTACATCAAATCATTCAAATTACTAATAGCTATAAATTGAAGTGATTGATACATGGAACCTACACCTATAGCAATTACAGTGGCACTACTGCTACCCCTCAATTTTGATTTCAAGTTGTACATAATATTGACCCTGTCAAGTCCACAACTAATAAAGGGTCCCAACTATGAAAAAGATGGAAATGTGTTTGAAAGGGTATTTAAGGAATACAAATCCTATATAAATAATCCTTTTAAGAAAATTTTGCATTTCAAATTTTGAACAACATTTCATAAATTAAAATGTTCTAATTTAAACATTTGACTACGAACTCTTTGTTACTGCAGGGTCTAGAAGAAAAAGAAAAAAAAAGAAGCTAGTATTATCGATGTTGACGCACCGTTTTTGGATGATATTTGGTTGAAGTTGAAAAGGAGCATCTGGAAGGGGAAAAAAATATTCTACTTAGACGTTAATTTTATTTCGAAATTTTGTAAGTAAATCACCATTTCACTTGAAATAGCCCTTAATTTTTTTAAAAATTAGAATTGAGAAGCAAAATACGAAAAACGATCATTTGATTTGTAAGTATTATATTTCATTATTTGCAAATAATTAGTGGATATGTACCAAAGGCAACAATATGTTGAGCTTGGACTTTTTACGTACCTGGGTTATCATTTAATGAATCGATTGTATATTAATTAGCATCCATTATATTTGAAACAAATTTGTATATGTTCACTTTAGCATGTCTAGAAAAGGACAAAAAAAAATAATGTTTAATTCTTAGGATTAACTATTATTCCAAAACAATGTTCAAAGTCTCTAAAAGATTACTATTCCCTTTTATCTCTATTTACTTGTTCACTTTTTCTTTTAAAATATTTCGTAATTACTTATTAATTTTGACAAATTAAGATAGAATAAAAAAATTCGTATTATACCCGTGATTAATTACTCTAAAAAAGATAAAACTTTTGAAAAAAATAATTTTTTAATTCATCAACTTCATAGTTACATAAGATTAAAATGATAAACTGACCATGTTAATAATTATACCCTTAATGGATATGGTAATTTAAAAGTGGACAAAAAATTAAAAATATAAGAAGTATTTAGTAACTAGTATGAGTATCATAGTATAAGGAGTTTGCTAAATCCATTAAAAAAATAAATGTGAATGGGAGAATAATTCTTATACTAAATGCTTGGTGTATTCATCTTAAGGGACCATTTGATACATGAACTACATAATTATCTTAATATTAACAGTCTTAGAGTTATTCCTAGATTAAATTTATATAACGTAACTGATGGAATAAAATAATTTCAAGTTGAATGTGATAAAATGAAATATTTTAGAAATAAATTTAATTAATGAAGTCATTTATACTGTCAACAAATACATATAAATTTTATCACATAATTAATTTTAAAATATCTCATTTTATTCTGCGGGTAAGAATGTTAGTCAATGACTCAATATGTTGGAAGTTGGAAAAGTTGATCCAATTAATTTAATGAAGTCAATTTTGAAATAATTTTGACTATCGAATATCATTTTATGAAGTTAAGAAACTATATCATATATTATTATAAGTGGGAATCTCCAAAGTATAAAGTTGAATTACTATTTTGTCCTTTTAGTAAATTAATATTTAATTAATTATTTAATTAAATACTAATATTTTAATTACATTATGATAGAATTTAAGTCATTAAGCCCTTTAATAATGCGAATTATTATTTTCTTGATAAATGAGCACATTGATATTGCTTTTAATTATAATTCTCATAATGAAATAATTTGAAAAATTAGAATTGATAAAACAATGTGTATATCATTATCATCATCATATATTATTATAAAAGGGAACCAAAAAAGTTAAAAGTTGAATAACGATTTTACCCTTATTATAAATTAAAATGTTATAAAAATATTTAATTATTTAATTTAAATATTAATTTATATTATTTTAATAGAAATGTTAATGACTTTTGCACTTCTTTAGATTAATTCTTAATTAAAATATCTAATTTAATTTATCTTCTTTAAATATTTACCCTTTAAATAGATTCATGTATATGGTTTATCTTCTAGATTAATTTATGTTCTTAATTAATATTTATCTTTAATTTTTGTAACACTTGACCTTTCAACTTTGTTAGTGAATCTTCATATTTCAAAGCTATATTTTTTCCTATAAATACAATCTTTTAATATTATTTTTATAGAAAGATTTACATGTGATACAATTTTTGTGTGTGGAAGACTAGAGAAGCTTTAATCAAGTGAAGAAAATTTTAAGGCAAGAGGATTTGTGTCAAGATTACAAGGCATAATGTGATTATAGGAATGAATGTTAATTACCAAAATATCGAAGCTTGATGTATTTATTTATTTTTACTTATTTGTCGAGATCAGAACTATGGTAAGACCACTCCATTTATGTAGTTGAATATCACTTCCATTAACTTGTCTTTCAAATATTTTAATTTTTCATGGTCAAAAGTTGAATGTTTATTACTATAACTTTGTTTCAATTTGCATTATCAAGAAAAAACAAAAAAAAAGACTGTCTTAGCATTTTTCTATTTTTCGTTGATTGCGTTATGCTAAACTTACTCCTATATATGATACTTTTTCTTTGTATTTGTAATTTTGTTTTAAGAATATATTTGATTAAAGGGTGTATTTTTTGCTATAGAAAATGAGACAAATACAATAATAAAAATAGTGTATAAGACATGCAGAACAATTAATGCTTACAAGATATTCTAATTTCAAATATTACTAATTATATTTTTGCATTTTAAATTTTAAATATTTGTAAAGAATCATTCTTACATGTGCTTGTGGATAAAATCTATAGTTTTTCGACAATTTTCATTAAAATTATCATGAGATCCAAATTCCAAAGTCGAAAAAATGATACACCAAAATGCTTAAGAAGTTAGAAGATCTTTTATCCTTTGACGAAATATTGCTCCTATTATTTTTTTAACAAAAAAATGTAAATATATTTCAACAAATTTTTAATTGTAAGAATACTAATATTGTCATTTTGACTCTCCATTAAATTAAAATCTGATTTATTTAATTAAATATTAATATTTTATTTGTATAATTACATAATTTAAATACCAATCATTGCACTTTAAATCTTAGTTATTTTCTTCTAATAAGCTTTTTATTTATAAATTTTAATTGCTTAATTTCATTCTACTTAATGAGAAGGAGAATTTCATCTTTTACGAATTAATGTCAAACATTTTATCTTCTTGATATGTATAAATATTAATTTAATTTCAACATTTTTATGAGACAAAAAAGACATTTTAAGAAAGTTAATCATAAGATAGTGTGTCTCCATTTTTGTTTTTGCTACTTTATTTTATCTTTTAAAACAAATATATAATTTCAATATCAAAATTATAATAAAGGGAGGACTAAATGTAAAAAAAATTCTTCAAGTTAATTATACATTACAAACATTTTTTTAAAAGTTAAATTGTTTATCATTTTATTCATCGTTATGAAGTGAACATGCAACACACGTGTCCATATACTAGTTAAACTATAAAGGTAAACGTGCATCGATAGAAAACAATGCAAGTTGTTGCCTACACCTAATAATAGTATTCGCTCAATTTATTTGAAAAAAATATTAGATTGTTGTGTTTTATTTGAAAACATTTGCTGATTAGGTGAATGATGGTTTTACAAAAAAAAAAAAAAAGAGCAAATTTTATTTGACTTCCTAAACTAATATAGCAGCCTTAACGATACACCAATTTGTGCAATAGTTTGAAGAGTCACTTTTTGAAGAATATAGTATAAATAAGAACAATAAGATTAACCGCCTTCGATTTGGCCGATTCCATTAGTTTAAAAATTTAAGATTGAATATTTAAACATTTCTAAATTTGGTGCGGCTTATTCAAACTTCTTTTAAATTATATTTCCTACATTCACTTGTTATAGTTTTTTTTTTAGAGTGGATATAGGAGAAGAATTAATTTGGGGGTTAGGGATTTGGTTTATGGCTGATTGAGAGAAATGAAGTGAGGGTAAAATTTAAATGGAATTTACATAAATATACTATAAATTAAAAATGTTTATCATTTATATTAATAATATTTTTTTCACTTGATCATTTTTTATGCATTTATAATGTACACTTTCAATTCATATTATAAAAAATAATTTATTGTTCACATATAATATAAAGTATTGATTGATTTATTAAAAGGAACCTATCCAAGTATTTTTTCCAAATTTGAATTGGGTTGGATATACACACTGTGTTAGTTATGAGAGGGTTGACTTCTTATAAGGGCAATTTGGTCATTTTTGTGATATTTCCGTTTTATTTATTTATTTATTATTCTTTTATATATTTGAAAATTATAGGAACAAAATATCCATCACGACTTTATATTTAAAAACACATCAGAAATATGGTTGACTCTTGGAATAGAAAATAATACATATTATCTTAAGTGAAAATAATATTAAAATATATTATAAATCTCAATATTAACAACTTCTTCGAATATTTTTTAAAAATTAATCGATTCTTGAAATTTCACTTATACCATATAAATTAAAATAATATATAGTGTAAATATCACATACAAATTACTATCATAAATTACAATAGATAACAATTTAAAATATTAAATGATCCTAACAAAATTTAAATGCACTTGTCCAAAATTCATCTATGTCACAATAAGCCGAGACATAGAGTAACATGCATTTAGCTTATAAAAAAGTGGGATAGAGAAGGTGATGTGGATCATTTAAATGAATGAGACGCGTATTCTTTTTTAAAAAAAATAAAAATATGTATATTTTTTGTATTAATTTTTACATTAATATATACATTCATCAAACTAGTGTGTTGACTTTCTAAAAGTTCTGTTGTATCTATACAACAAAACAAGATGTTAATTCAAGATCTTTTTTATCCCATTTTTGCTCGTTAATTTGATTATGAAATGCTTACTGCGAAATGGGTAGTTGGAGACGCTTCATTACTGTCTAGAAAAGGGGACACCTCATGGGATATAAGAAAAGTAAATATAAGTACTTTGTGTGTATATATTGATATGATGAAAGAGCTTGTTAATGAAACAAGCCCTTTTTCGCTAGGTCCTAAAGCTTTCCAAATGAGTTTAAGTATTTTGTAATTTGGTAATGTATATGAATTAAACAACAATAACATACCTAGTGAAATTCAACATGTGAGGTCTAGAAAAGTAGATTGTATGCAGAGCTTATCTCTACCTCGTGAAGGTAGAAATGTTGTTTTCAAAGCAGATGTGATAAGAAAAGTTGATAATGAAAGAAACACGACGAGGTAGTAACAACAAAAAAATACAGTAAACAACAAAGTATGATAGAAATCAAAACACTACAGCAATAGGACTAATACTATGACAAACAACACCTACCTACGAACTAAGTTAAAAGTGTCTTGTTCTTTTTCCTGAACTTAGCCTATGAAATACACACAATTCAATTTTGTATTCTACCTATAGTGTAGAGTTACATATTATATTAGTGTACATAAGTTAAATCCATGGTATACCAAATAAAGTGTTGCTTCTTTCAAATTTCTGAAGCATTTGTACTTAATAAATCTTCTCGTCGGTCGAATTCCCCCTCCTTGTAACCTTTTAGCATTATCTATGAAGTATACT